AATTATTTTACTTCAAACAAGGGAACGGAATGGATTAACGCATAAGGGAATAAAAAAAATAAAAATTAGAAATAATTAATCCATTCCGTTTTCTTGTTTGAAGTAAAATAATTCCAAATTGCTCCTCCTGATATTTAATATTTTATTCCTATTCCTAATATTTTCTCTATTGTGCGCAGGGCCTTAGTGCGCACATGTATCATATATTACTCTCTCACGCATGAATTAAAGTTTGGTAATTTATCAATTAATTATTGTATATAAAGCAGTAAAAATATATTGTGATATTGTCTCATTTCAATATATGGAACACAATGCAAAAGATTGCGTTTTCTATTATGCACGTTTGAAATAATTATGTTGGTAATGGCGGAACTAAAAATGTCGGTATTATCGACATTTTTAGTTACGTTTAGATGAGGGCGCTAACTTGTCGGAGTTTGCTCGTCGGTTTTGGATCCCCTTAAGGGGATCCTGGACTACCGACCAAACGCAATTTTTTGAATTTACCAGTTTTTGTAATGGCTATACAGAAAAAATTTTTTAACTTTTTTTTGTCTTCAGCATAAAGTCGACTGTCCCATAGAGCATTGATATATGTACTTTAATCGTGTAAAAGCATTTGTAATTCTGTATAGCCATTACAAAAATTGGTAAATTCCAAAAATTGCGTTCGGTCGGTAAAAACATGATGGTCCAGGATCCCCTTAAAGTGTTAATAGTTGTATATTTATGATTCTTAAAACATGATAGCGCGACGAAATTTTTTACACTATCGTCAATATCCCTCGTACAATAAGTCTACATGATCTCCGCTAAAAGGATTGACGCATTAAATTTAAAAATTAATAAAGCTACGATTATTAAAGCGATACAACGGGCCAAAATCGCGTCGCCTTTGCCTGGGTCCTTCGCGTCTAATGAATCTATCTCTTAAATCACAGCAATTTTTAAAAAAATTGCCGCGTTGTTCAAGAACTACATTATTTTACTGTGTGCTATTGAAATTACGCCATTAATATTTTAAGAATTGTATCTTTTTCTAAGTTGTGTTCATTATAAAGGCGGAACAGCCCTATATAACGTCGAGAATTCGGCCCGCTATATCGCTTTAATAATCGTCAGCTTATTAATTTTAAAATTTTAATGCGTCAATCCTTGCAGCGGAGATCATGTAGAATAATGTCTTTCTCCAATAACATCGATATCTTTAACGGTAGTTGAGATTAAAGCGAATACTGTATCTGACGCGGACGATCTCGGCAAAGGCGTTGCGATTTCGGCACGTTTTTTTATAAAATTATAATTTTAAAAATTTATAATAAAGAAGAGAGAGAAAGAGAGAGAGAAAGAGATAGAGAGAGAGAAAGGGAGGGAGGGGAGGGAGAGAGAGAGAGAGAGAGAGAGAGAGAATAGTTCGAAATGCGTGGCTTCAGCGTTCGCTCGTACGTAGCCGTATACAGCGCCCCTCCCACCGCTTCGCCGCGCACCTAGCAACGCCTGAGTAGGAAGTCTCTTCTCGCCGCGCGCTTGTGATTGGCCCATCTTTTTAAATTAATTTCTTAATAATTATTACAAAAATCGCAAAATGGTAAAGGACTTTTCTTCTCGGTTTCATGTGCTCTACCTGCACCTGCACATGGCGGGTGATCCGCGAATTATGGGACACCCTGTATATATATTCATATATTATACACAAATATGTTAAAATATGTTATTATTTACAAAATATTTCATAACCATTGGTACAATTAAAAAGATAATAATTCCACATAAAAAAAAATAAGTAAAAAAGGTAGAATTAATTTTTTTCTTTATATAAGGTTTTACTTTTGAGAAAAATGACTTTGACATTTAAAAAATTGATTCAAATTTTAAACGTGTATATTCCTCTCTCTCTCTTTTTTTCTCTAAACTTGAATGACGTTTAATCAGTATATATAATGTCTCATCTAATTCGTCTCCATTCTCCCCAGACAGAGATTATTAATATATAAATATGAAAAAGTACATTTGATTTAGTAAAATTTAAAATAATTTAAGTTACAATAAAGAAGTTGTATATAAGACAAACTTTAGTATATCAGATAAACTTTTATTTTTAGTATATAGAAAAGATATCTTTTCATACATATTTTGGAGTAAATTCTATCGAGATAAATTTGATGATGTATGATGTAAGATTATAAGAGGGTTAGTTTAGATTAGATTAGGTTGCGTTAGATTATTCAAGCTTGAAAAAAGCATAATGTATTATCAATTCCCACATTTTTAAAATTAATTTTTTCGAAAACAAAGTCTTGAGTAAAAACAATTTATGCTATGTTTTCGATTATTTTTACATAGAATTATTAACTTCTTAGTTGTACTATGTAGTTGTTATAAAATGATTTGTATATATTAATTAATTATGTTGAGTTTTTTAGATGATAATAATGAAGTAGAGATTTGTACTGACTTATATAGAGAAGAAGCTATCGATGCAGGTGAGATAGTTAATTTTATATCAATTTTATAGCTAATTTTGTAATATTCTTTCAATATTTCTTCAAATATTAGCGAAAACTACCGATAATACATTAAAGTTGAAACTTCAAATTTCAAAATGCTTCTTTAATTTTTTATTTGCGAGTCTTTTTCGCCGAGTATTAACATTATTTTAAAAAATGCAGATTTTTTTTTTTAAATGGCGTAACTCGACCAAAAAATCGTAGGAAAATTTAAAAAATACGTTTTGTAGGCAATATGTTGTAATTTATATGGTACTTGTGTTAAATTTTTTTATGGAACTGCAGAGTGAAAGTACAGGGAATAGACAGAAAAATGAAAACAGTTACGAAAGATATAATTTTCTTTATTAATACGGAGTTGAGTAACTCTTGAGTAACTCGTCTACAGCCAAGTATCTTTCTTGGAATAAATAATAAAGAAAATATTAATAAAGAAATATATCTTTTTCACAAGATATATCTTTCTTTATTAAATTTACAATCTTTATACAATTTCTATTTTTTTGTCTATCTCTTGTACTTTCGATATTCTGCAGCTCGATAAAAAAAATTCTTTCGAAAAACTTAACACAAGTACCATAAACTACAATATTTTGCATACAAAATACTTCATCTCAAAATTTCTTATGATGTTTTTTGACTGATTGTGAGTTAGTTTGAAATCAAACCTGCATTTTTTTAAAATGGTGTTGATACTCGGCGAAAAATCATTGCAGACATAAAATTAAGAATTTTTAAAGTTTGAAGTTGTGTGCGTGCGTGCGTGTGTGTGTACACGCACAAACTTGAACGGAAATAAACGCCATACTAATGTTTCGGAAAGCTCTTGACACCAGTTATCAGAATCTGCAATAAAAACATATTTTTCGAAATATCCAGCTATTCCGAAACATTTCTGACACTCTGTAGATATATTTTATCAATATTTTTATATTGTATATATTTTATAATATTATATAAAATTTTTTTATAAACACGATTTTTCAGATATTAAAAAGGAGTATCAACAATGCCAAGTTATTGTTCAAAAAGTAGACATACAACAAGCCGGAACAATACGAGAACAGAAACGAAAACCATTATCTACTATTAAGTAAGTCACAATTAAATAGAGCCATTTATTATAACTTAAAAAATTGTTATTATTTATAAATTGCGTAACTCGACCAAAAAATTTAAAAAATACGTTTTGTAGGCAATATGTTGTAATTTATATGGTACTTGTGTTAAATTTTTTTATGGAACTGCAGAGTGAAAGTACAGGGAATAGACAGAAAAATGAAAACAGTTACGAAAGATATAATTTTCTTTATTAATACGGAGTTGAGTAACTCTTGAGTAACTCGTCTACAGCCAAGTATCTTTCTTGGAATAAATAATAAAGAAAATATTAATAAAGAAATATATCTTTTTCACAAGATATATCTTTCTTTATTAAATTTACAATCTTTATACAATTTCTATTTTTTTGTCTATCTCTTGTACTTTCGACATTCTGCAGCTCGATAAAAAAAATTCTTTTGAAAAACTTAACACAAGTACCATAAACTACAATATTTTGCATACAAAATACTTCATCTCAAAATTTCTTATGATGTTTTTTGACTGATTGTGAGTTAGTTTGAAATCAAACCTGCATTTTTTAAAAATGGTGTTGATACTCGGCGAAAAATCATTGCAGACATAAAATTAAGAATTTTTAAAGTTTGAAGTTGTGTGCGTGCGTGCGTGTGTGTGTACACGCAAATTTTTTTATAAACACGATTTTTCAGATATTAAAAAGGAGTATCAACAATGCCAAGTTATTGTTCAAAAAGTAGACATACAACAAGCCGGAACAATACGAGAACAGAAACGAAAACCATTATCTACTATTAAGTAAGTCACAATTAAATAGAGCCATTTATTATAACTTAAAAAATTGTTATTATTTATAATTGCTAAAATTGATTTTTTTAGTTTTGACACCTCAAATATTTCAACGAAATCAGTTAAACGCCGAAAATAATTATAAAAAATGCAAAGGAAAACTAGCATTTGAAACTATTTACATCATTTTACATTAATTCTGGCAAAGTTTAGCTTCTGTGATATTAGAGTATAGTTTGCCAAGACTGCAATAAAAAATTCATTGAAAAAACGAACAAGAAGAAGATACCTTAAACGGATTTATCAAAGCAACACGAGCAACAATTTTCTAATACAGAGTTGTACTAGTTATGAAGCCTGTACTGTAAGCTGAAACAAAAGATTTAATTATTTGTTTAAGGGAATGTTAATTTTCTAGAGATTTTATTTTTGTAAGTTTTTCTTTACTTCTTCTTATTGTCATACATTGCGTTGTAATTTGTAATGTGGTATGTAATAGTCATAATTATACTGCGATATATGTAAAGTGCAAAAGTAGTTGTTACATATGTTGTTTTAAATACTTTATAACATACATTATTATTGTCTAACAGTACTTTCAGTTATTTCCACATATATGTAAAAAAAAATGTGTAAAACTCATTTATTTTTCAAGATCTGATTCAAATTTCTCTTATAAAATACTTTGTATTGTACGTACAAATATATTTTATGTGGTTCAATAAATTTTATTTACAGTAAAAGAGTAATTATATATGTGGTGCAATAGTTATTAATCATTATCATTATCATTTAAAATCTGTACATACTCTATATGCACACATCTGTATATATTATTATATAATAAAGCTATGGATGTTGGATATTTTATTTATAATGAGATGGATATTTTTATAAGAGATGTCCATCTTGATTAAAGACGATTAAATCCGGGACGATGTTTATAAAAGAAGAATATTATAATATTTATTTATTTTACGTTCAATTTGCGACAATCAGAGATGAGCAATAAAGGAGGTTTCTGGCAAGTAAGATTAGGAGGCTCTGTGCTTCTTCTTCTTCTTCTTTCAATTTATTGGCCTCTTGTGATCAAGGGTGGATCAACAAATTCTGGCCATCAACAGGTTATATAGTGAGTATAAGTTTCTGGGAGAAATTATTTATAGGATAATGTGAAACCTCTTTCTGAGGCATATGGGGAAGTGGAACGATAGAGTTTTATATGATAATTTGTGGAAAAACCTCTTTTGAGGCATGTGGGAAGGACGGGACCCGAGCGGAATCGAACCTGGAATCTCTCGATTACCAGGCCGCGACTCTACGACCGGCGCCACGCGTCGCCCCGAGGCTCTGTGCAAATGACTGATTGCGGTTACGTTACCCTTGTGCAAATGACAGATGGAGGTTACTTGCTTAGTATTTGGTGATAAATATGGGCAAATCACAAACTTTTATATAATATACTATATCATAATATTATATTCTATTCTATATAATTATATAGAATATAAATATAAATATAATTGCGGTTACGTTGCAAATGACAGATGGAGGTTACTTGCTTAGTATTTGGTGATAAATATGGGCAAATCACAAACTTTTATATAATATACTATTATACTATATTATATTCTATTCTATATAATTATATAGAATATAAATATAAATATAATTAT